CGTTCCAATATCTCAGGGGCTGCCACAAAGAAGAGGGAGTCAAGCTATTTTCCAAGGCGCCTGAAGGCAGGACAAGAAGCAACGGGTGGAAACTAATCAAGGAGAGAAGCAACTTAGAACTAAGGAGAAACATCCTGACAGTGAGAACAATTAATCAGTGGAACAACCTGCCTCCAGAAGTGGTGAATGCTCCAACACTGGAAGTTTTTAAGAAGAGACTGGACAGCCATCTGTCCGAAATGGTGTAGGGTTTCCTGCCTGAGCAGGGGGTTGGACTAGATGACCTCCAAGGTCCCTTCCAACTTTATTATTATTATTATTATTATTATTATTATTATTATTATTATTGCTTTATAAATTAGTCAATTAAACCATAAGTAGGGAGCTCAAGAGTCAACCGGATTTCGAGAAAGAGCCTAGAGAAGGTACTTACCCAATACAACATGGGTGCCAGGGCTGATAGTTTTGTTCCACTGCTCAGCAATATAATCAGAATGAAATCCGACTCCTGGGTTTATTTTCAAGCAAAAGAGTGAAATGCTCTCCACTGCCTGAGGATGCAATCATGTCAAATAATAGGCAACATAAGAGAATTTTCATTAAAAGCTCGGTTGACAGAAAAGTAACTCAAGTCATATAATGTGATCCATTTATTTGGGTCAGAGGAGGACATGCGAATCCATTCATTATTGTCACTTATCTCAGTGATGGCGAACCTTTTAGAGACCGAGTGCCCAAACTGCAACCCAAAACCCACTTACGCATCGTCGAGTGCCAGGTGGGCGTGGCCCATTGGATGGGCGTGGCTGCGGTTGTAACGACAGACTGGGTGGGACTAAAAGGTTCAATCAATCAATTCCAACTTTGCAAGATCTTTTTTTTTCTCTGCAACAAGTTGAAATTGACTGATTGAACCTTTTTTTTTTTTTTTGCACACAGTGGCAGAGGCCTAAAGCGAAAAGGTTTTATAAAACCCAGCTGAAGGCCTAAGACTGGGGCGACGGCGCGTGTGCCCACAGAGAGGGCTCTGAGTGCCGCCTCTGGCACCCGTGCCATAGGTTCGCCACCACTGACTTATCTATTACAACTCCCTGAACAAACCATGCTTAACATCCTTTCTTAACTTTGCTTAAACACAGGTTCTAAAACAGGGGCGTCCAGCCTTGGCAATTTTTAGGGAAGGAGATACCTTGTATACCATGTCTCTTTCTTCTACAGAACTTGTAAAAATCAGAGTCTTTTGAGCATCTGTCGGGGTAAAATCTAATGTTTGAAGCAAAGTGGAGATCCGGTCGCACTCAAGACACAGCTGCACAACCTGAAATTACACGTTATTCAAACTTGTCAGAATGCAAATCATTCGTTTTAAAAAAGCCTTTCGGCAAGTGATTCAGAAATGCAAACCTAACTCCATTATGATTATTTTCTTAGGCAGAAATCCGCAGCCATTTTTTTTTAATACGCGGTCAAAGGACCAAAAGATAAGAAACTGCCAATGGTTCAGCTGACGTTCAATTTGATCCTTGGTTCTGAGGGGACAATACCGGGAGTCCTCGGCTTACGACTGCAACAGAGCCCAAAATTTACGTTGCTGAGGGAAACATTTTAAAGTGAATTTTGCCCCATTTTGCGACTTTTCTTGCCACAGTTGTTAAGTGAATCGCTGCAGTTAAGTTAGGAACATGGTTGCTAAATGAATCTGGCTTCCCCCTCGACTTTGCTTGTCAGGAGGATGCAAATGGAGATCACATGACCCCAGGACACTGCGACCGTCATAAATATGAATCAGTTGGCAAGCATCTGAATTTTGATCACGTGATCTTTGGGATGCTGCAGTGGTCATAAGTGTGAAAAATGGTCATAAATCACTTTTTCCAGTGCTGCCTTGACTTAGAATGGTCACTAAATGAACTGTTGTAAGACGAGGACTACCTGTACTGAATTTTAGAGATGCCATAACACTTTTTTTTTCCCCACAGAAGAATCTTTTCCCACCTGGACACTCTTATATGCCATGAGTGAGCAACACAGAAATTTGACGATTATTATGGTTTAATATGGCTTCTATGCTTTTACCTACTAGACTAGAGCCATCTCAACAGCTGCCTTTGGTGCATTTGCTAAGTTAAAACCCACTATTATATAGACAAGACACATAAAAACAAGTTTTACCTGTTGCACTTTCCCATAGATGGCAGCTTCTTCCATGGAGGTAATTACAATATATGGATCGTTCATAAATTCTTTTGTTAAAATCTCTACGTTTTTGTCCCAGTGGTTTCCAACAGCAACAATCTGCTGCGGTGAAAACTCCTTTTCTTCAACACTCAGGATAGATTTATAGTATTGTAAAATACTAAATATCTATAAAAAGGGATTAAAGCTTCATCGTTACCTTCTGCATTTTCTTTTTTTTAATATAAAAGTTTTAGTTGAGTTTTATGGGGTTAGGGAAGGGATAGGACCAGGATAGGGATTAAGGTTCAGGGTGGGGTTAGGATCGGGATTGGGACAGGATTGGGAACAACATTGGGTTGCCCCCCCAATATCATTTTCAAGCTTTAGCAAACAGACTATTGTCCAGGTACATATGCTCAGTTAACACTAATTAATACAATAGTAAATAGCTGTAGTGAATATGATAAACAATCATAAACAATATCAATTGGTCAATACATATTCTTCTTGCTAATATATATTCAAAATAACGTATCAGATTCGTTACCTTCTGCATTTTCAACAGAGAATGGCTATATAGGAGATTATGAATGGAAATGATGGGGCAGGAAAGCAGCATCTTACTACCTGCTCCTTTGAAATGAATTATGATTTTGGCTTATGTATTGCTAGATCCGCACTTTTTCTGTTTTTCTTTCCATTCCATTGCATCAAGTTCAAGCTCTCTGCCCCAATGAAATGTTTTATTTGTAGGGAGTAACATAAAAGCGCAGCTGATTGTTTTGGCAGAAGGGGAAGAAATCTTTTCTGCCACTTATTCCTTCATCAGAGGCCAAAAGGGGCTTCCAAGCCCAAACTCACCTGATCCTTGGCTTCTGAGAACAATACATCAACCTCATCAAACACCAGATGACACAACCTAAGGAAGTCTAAACTGTGATGCTCGAGCAGCCGCAAAAAGCTAAGAGGGGTTGTTACAACGATTTCACCTGTAAAATGAAAAGGAGCGCGTCGTTTGTACCAGCTCATCGGATTCAAAAGTGGAAATAAAACATTATTAATAACTTAACGGCTCAAATACACCGACACTAACTGGTATCTCTGAAGGATACTCTAGCCTGGGAAATCTGAGGTAATTTGTTATGCTTTGTGGCTTATACTGATGCTTCTTACAAACTTCGTTATCTGAAACGAAGAAAGCTTTCGTTTGTTTTGGCTATCAATACAGGTCAGCCTCAACGTACGACCACAACTGAGCCCAAAATCTGTTACTAAAGAAGACCCTTTTTAAAGTGAGTTTTGCCCCATTTTACGACCTTTCTTGCCCGAGTTGTTAAGTGAATCACTGCCGTTTTTAAGTTAGTAACAATTTTTAAGTGAATCTGGCTTCCCCGTTGACTTTTGCTAGATCACAAAAGTGATCCCGTGATCCTGGGACCCCGCAACTGTCGTAAATATGAACCAGTTGCCAAGCGTCCGAGTTCTATCGTGTGACCATGGGGACACTGCAGTGGTGGTGAAGTGTGAAAAACAGTCAGAAGTCACTTTATTCAGTGACGCTGTAACTTTGAACGGTCACTAAATGAACTACTGTTAAGTCGAGGACTGCCTGTGGTTAGGGTTAAACATTTTAAGAGACAATGATGTTATTCTAAAATTCTGTTCCCCCTGCTTAGGATTGCCTTTATATTTTTGTTCTGACTTTTATCTGCTCATTCCTTCACGTGGGCAATACAATTAATCAAGTTTTGCTTACATCCTCTTGAAATTCTTACATTCTTGATTTCTTCCTTATTCATTCCCAGGAAAAGCAACATCGGGTAGAGAGGCCGGGAGCAATGGGTGTACTTTTTCAGGAGCTCAAATACCAGTTCTGCTTTCTTCTGGCCAGGGCATATGATTAATGCTACTGGCTACATACACAAAACATTATAGAGATGAATCAGAAATATGTAGATCGCACTTCTTAAAAAAGTTAAGTTGATTATGCATTCCAAACAATACAAACTTACTCAGACACCCCAACATTTTACAACGTTTACCCATGTTTTTTTGATTGATTTATTGCTATCTTTAGATCATCGCCCTCTTTCCAAAATCATTTTTCCTTCCTTGCAAAGAATTTCATTAAAAAAAAAACCCACATATTCAAAAATGCAACAAGAGAACTATGAACAATAACAACCTAACTATAGCCTACTTTAAGCACTTGCCACCAGTTAAGGCAATTGTGAAGCATTAACTGAATATTCCACTTACACCGTGTCTAGCTGATAAGGATATGTAGCAATTTCTTGATTGCAAAAATGTAATGATGGGCAGAAGATATGAAAGTGGATTACTTTCAGAAGAGATAATAAGTGAATCATATCCACGGGCTATTGCAGGCCAGGAATAAGACTGTACATGATTAGGTCCTTGGAATTGATTTCTTAAAAGCTCCTTTCAGAAAAGAAACACAGAATATTTGGTTAAATACTGCTTACAAGAAATAGAACAGAATACTTTATTTGACCGAGTGTGACTTGGCACACAAGAAATTTGTCTCCGGTGCAGAAGCTCTCAATGTACATACTAAATATACTTAGACACAGTACAATACTATGAGGATTAAGTGTTCAGTAGAGCAGAGGTCCCCAACCTTTTGGGCACCGAGGACAGAGGTTTTTCCGCGGACCGAAGGGTGCATGGTTTTGTGTGCTGCCTGCATCTCGTGGATGGGGATTTGCTTGTTTGTGCGGCCCGGTTGCTGGCCCACGGACCAGGGGTTGGGGACCCCTGCAGTAGAGTGATGGCCTGAGGGAAAAAACTGTCCCTGTATCTTGTTGGTCTGCAATGCCCTATTAGCAGGGATCCCCAACCTCTGGGCTGCGAACGGTTTGCAACTGGGCCATGGAAAAGGCTGGGGAGTGCAAGCATGTGTGCATGCGGCATTTTTGCGTGAGCAGCAGGCATGCATGCACACTGTTTGTACAAATGGAGCTGTTCGTGTGCTTACTAACCTCCCCCCACACCCCGGTTTGCAAAGCCAGAAAAGTTGGGGAATCCTATAGTGCTATCCCGAGGGGAGGAGTTGTTAACAATTTATGTCCAGGATGTGAGGGGTCTGTAGATATTTTCTCACCCCTCTTTCTGATCATGAAGTACACAGGTGCTCAATGGAGGGCAGGCTGGTTGCTATTTTTTCTTTTTTTTTGCCCATCCTAGCTATCCGTGGGAGTCTGTACCTGTCCTGCTTGGCTGCTGTACCAAACCAGACCGTATAGGTTACAGACTCAATAATTTCCTCTGTAGAACAGTATAAACAGCTCCTTGGGCAGTCTGAACTTCCTAAGTTGACGCAGGAAGAAAATTCCTTGTTGTGCCCTTTTAATGGTGGTTCTAAGTTAGGTGTCCATGTCAAATCTTGGGAGATTAAAGAAGCCGAAAACTTGAAGGAGACTACTATTATTGAAGGAATCAAGATTAAGCTGTCATTAAATAATGTCCCTTCCCCCTCTTTCCGGTACACCACATCAAAGTGGAAAGAATTTATGTAAACAAGCCTAGAACCGCTCTAGCAGTCCCAGAAGCCTCTGTTATTAACTGTTGTTAATTACTAATACCACTGTGCTGAACACTGCAAAAAATAACCAAAAATGATTATTAGCATGCTTTTGTTCAGAACAACGTAGTCATTGCTATTTAAGGAAGTTGATCAAGACATGAATAAAGACATCACCGTGTGCTTTTCTGCCATATGGTAAATTATATCATATAAAAGATTATAAACGCTACCTTTTTTAAAGCTGGAAACAGTGGTGCGGTTTCAAGAGATGGACATGGTTCGATTTTATTACTCAGCACAACAGGAAGACATGTAGTGATATTCAGCTTAAGCTCCTAAGAATAAACCAGTGAAAAGACTAAAAGGCCGTATTGCAACTTTTTTTTAGTGTTTCAACCTGACACAAGTGTTTCCCACTTTTTCAGTGTATTTTTCTTTACCAAATAATCCAAAACACCCAAGAAATGAAGGCAAATATATACACGTCTCAGGATAATTGGATCCTGCAACATCCAAGAAACTTCTAAGAACGTGCAAATCTGAAGCTTCCAATTTCTGATGCCTTCATTAAAACATTTCTCATTTCAGCAAAATGTTCACCCAAATTAAAACATTAAAAGTTAATCTACTTGTTTCTTGAACTACCTCTGTTTCTTGTCCAGTGGCCATTTTCAGAGAATCAGGGTTTAAAAACTGTAGAAGCCTGAAAACACACAAGTTGACTTTTTAAGTATTCGTTAAAAGTTCATTCATTCAGCCTTTGTTTCAATTAAGAGCTGTAAATACACCTGCCCGTTCTTTATGCAAAGTATATTAATTCCTTGGGCATTATAAATATTGGTTCTCATGATGAGAAAAAGCTTACTTCACCCCAAGGTTGTTCTCGTAGAGACCGTTTTTCACTTCCTGGATTTTGGTGCTTGTCTTAGGTAAGCTGCTAAAACGAAACACAATATCTGTAAACTTAACAGCTGGGAAATTGCACACATGAATCAGGAATCTTTCTAAACCTTATTCTCCCTGAAAAGCAGCATTTGGGGGGAGGGGGAATGTAGAGGTGTCCTCTATTCAGTTTTTTTTTTTTGATCCCAGCTAATTATGAAAAATGCAAGTAGAATAGACCTGGGTATTTTACGGCCGTTGGGCTACATCTGGCCCTTTGCCTGTCCCTGGCTGGCCCATGTGAGCTCAACTGGAAATTAAAAATCAAATCCTACAGCAGCCTAGTGGCAGCAGCAATCATTGCGCGAAGGGATATCGGCTTGGTCACCCACCACCCCCTTGGTTGAAGCATGGCCTTGTGGGCGAGTGTGCGTTAATGCAGCCAGGAGCTTTTGTTTCAGCCCTGCACAACAGTCCCAGTTCCTCATGTGGCCCCTTGAATAAATTAATTGCCCACCCTTGAACTGAAATGTAAGCAAGATACGTAAGAAGTGAGCTATTAAGCTGAATTTGATCAATATTTTGTTGAACAAATCCATGGATAATATTAATATTTTAAAACATCCCTCAGTCTCTTATTAGAAGGACATGAATAAGAAGTCAATTTAAATTTAAACATTCGTTTTGCTCTCTGGTGCCAGCCAACAATTTTCCATGGTTTTTGCTTAATAAAATAGTATCTTGCCAGTAATGAAACAGAAATGAAAGATAAAAATTTAAAATATACCTGACTGTTTGCAGGTCTGTTGGTATAGAAAAAGTTATTCCTTGCTTCAAAGGGGAAACAGGCACCAGTACATCCTAAGCAGGCAAATAAAGGTATCTCACATTTTTATTCAGGACTCTATGAAAGGGGTCACGTCTATGTTTATAACTGAACGCATCTCACTATATTACCAGAATAAAAAGCAAGATGGTTGCTATCACATTTCTTAAAACAGCTAAATAGGATAAATAGCTGATATGTGCTATCAGCTCCTGTATAATCTGTACGTGATTATTTAGAAGTAAACCATTCAAAAAATTTAATGGGGCTTTCCCCTAAGTTTTTTCTTTTCCAGTTACAATACATATTTCTTCTTAACTTAAAGTAAATGATGCATAGTGCTTTTGCTCAGGAAACAGCTCAGCAGCACTCTATAATCACCATCATAAACTAAATAAAGATAACCTGGATGTTTTAACAGTTCAGCAATGCTTGAAATGTGAAAACCAAGAAGAAACAAGGATGTATTTAGTACTTACAGACTGTTTTGTATTATGTAAGTTAGTTTCTGGCAAATGCTTAAACTCTGCTTTCTCAGAATCACCACAAATTAAAGCAGCACCTAAAAAAACAGGTACAAGTCTCTTTTTACTAAAACACTTAAAATACATCTTCTGAAGACCATGTCCTGGAAATAAAATAATAAAAAAATAAAGTTAACATAAAGTAAAATTTTCATTTTTATAAACAGCCGTCTCGTTGAGGGTCTCTGGGTGGGCTACCCCAGGTAAAAACAATACAAAATATAGGATAGAACATAGCACACTCTAGAACTCCAATTTGGGTTTAGTACTAAACACTGGAGAAGACTCCTGCGAGTCCCCTGGACTGCAAGGCGATCAAACCGGTCAGTCCTAGAGGAGATCAACCCTGACTGCTCTTTAGAAGGCCAGATCCTGAAGTTGAAACTCAAGTACTTTGGCCACCTAATGAGAAGGAAGGACTCACTGGAGAAGAGCCTAATGCTGGGAAAGATTGAGGGCAATAGAAGGGGACGAGGTGGCTGGATGGAGTCACTGAAGCAGTAGGCATGAGCTTAAATGGACTCCAGAAGATGGTAGAAGACAGGAAGGCCTGGAGGAACATTGTCCATGGGGTCGCGATGGGTCGGACACGACTTCGCAACTAACAACACCACCAAACATTGGTTTCATTGAGCATTCAAGGAACCAAACTATGCAGCTTAGTCTTTTTGATTGGTTGATGGGAGATACCTTAGCACAGACCTACAATTACAGGGCCTATTGACTCCAAGCAGCCATCATGTATCTTTGTGTCTTGCTATTATTATTTTTAACAAATCTGCAGCCAAACATCGCTGCAGCTAGGAAGAATCAGCCACTTTCACTCAGTTTTCTGCAGTTTCTTCAGCCCTGAAAGGCATCGCTTCTCGGCCTTTTGGCTAAGATCAAGTGTGTGTAGCCCTGAAAGGCACATTGCTAGTGACTCCGACACCTCCAGGCCTCATTGCCCTGCTAGTTTCGTCTCTGCTACTGCACTGCTAATCAGACAACATTGGAGTAGCACGTTAGACATTCCTGGCAGTTGGGCCAACCTGCTCTACTGTGCAGGCAGACCGTGTTCCAGAAGAGGCTTCATCTCAGCTGCTATCACCACTGACCTATGACTTCAGAAACTGATTTCTCATACTCACATATCTCTGAAACCTTAGTCTCTCGCAGTAACGCTGGCCACAGAAGCATTACAGGACTCTTCCCCTCTGAAAGAGATTCCGATGCTCTTTTCTGCTTTGCTTTACCAAGTTCATAGCAGGCAAAGTTCTTGGCAACAAGATCATCGTTCACACACACCTGGGACAAAAACAATGTTTGGGAATGTGAGGATTAACGAGGGAGAAAAATTAAAACATATGAAACTTTTTGTGGTGATAGATTAGAAATGACTAATGTGACATACTTAAGTAACGAGGCATTTCTAGTGTTTAAGAAGCTTTGTCAAACTAGAAATATCACATTAAGAGCAGCATAAAATGGCACTGCAATATTTATCTAAACTATCTTAAATGTGCTCTGGTTGTTTTAACAGCTACAGCGCACATCACTGTGAAAGACAGAGAGTCTTTGCTAGGGTATGCAGAACTCTGAAACAGAGTTTTAGACCTCAATTCACAGAGCAACGATAATATTACTCTAATACTGCAGCACAAACCTGACTATAAGCCTGCATGAAGAGTGTATTGTTTTCTATTCTGCTGGCCAGGTTTAACATGGTCAGCAAGCCAATACCCAATTTAAAAGATTGCGTGTAATTTGCAAATATTACCTTTTCACCACTTATTGTGACATAAAGATAGACAGCAAAATTATCCTCTTCAACCGCACATAATTTGGCCTCTGCTTGAGTGGCTGCTATGAATAAAATGAGGCGTATTAGATTACCATAGCAGTAAGGTGTTGTTTTTTTTAAAAAAAAAACATATCAGTTCTTTATACTGGACATTGACCAATACAAGCAGTTCTCAACTTACAATCAACCGTTCGTTAATAACCATTTGAAGTTATGACGACATTGAAACAAGTGTCTTATGACTCGTCCTTGAAGTTATTTTCATTTTTCATTTTATTAAATTTATACCCCGCCCTTCTCCCGTAGGACTCAGGGCGGCTTACAGCCAGTTAAAAACAGTTAATACAATACAATAGAGGTTTTAAAAATCATTAAAAATAAATATATAATCGGCCGTTTCTACTAAAATTTGGCTAAAACCAATTTAAAATGCCCCTAGGCCAGTCCTGCCCGCTGAAACAACCAGGTCTTAAGGGCGCGGCGGAAGGAGGGGAGATCCGGAATGACCCGGATCTCTGGGGGCAGCTCGTTCCAGAGGGTGGGTGCTCCGACAGAGAAGGCCCTTGCCCTGGGGGTCGCCAGCCGACACTGTCTGGCCGACGGCACCCTGATAAGGGCCTCTCTGTGTGAGCGTATCGGCCGGTGGGAAGCAATCTGTGGCAGAAGGCGGTCAGAAGGCGGCAGAGGTTATGACTGGCACAGCGTCCCCAGGTCACGGATTGCGATTGGATACCTGGCAACCAGCGTGTATAGGGAGTTCTCAACTTACAACCACAACTGAGCCCAACATTTCTGGGGTTAAGCAAGACTTTTGTTAAGTATTACCCCATTTTACGACCTTTCTCGCCACAGTTGTTAAATGAATCACTTCAGGTGTTAAGTTAGTAGCTTGGCTGTTAAGTGGATCTGGCTTCCCCATGGACTTTGCTTGTCAGAACATCGCAAAAGGGGATCTTGTGACCGTGGGACGCTGCAGACGCCATAAATATGAGCCAGTTGCCCAGCATTTGAATTCTGATCACGTGACCGTGAAAAACGGTCATAAGTTACATTTTTCAGTGTTGTAAACTTTGAACGGTCACTAAACGAACTGTTGTAAGTCAAGGACCTCCTGTATTTGTATGGTTGTGGGTCATGGGGACTGGGGAGGGGAAGCTTGTGAGATAATTGTGTCCAAAATGCATATTTGCTCACAGACTTAAAAGAGGAATGTGTTTTGCTAAGTTTGAATTCTGCACAACTCTCAATTTATAAATGTAAGTCTCCCGAGTCTATTATTCCCCGCCAGTTTTATAAAAATAGATTTGCCATATAACTGAAATTATACAAGAGGTTATTCTAATTTTTCTTTACCTTTCAGAAGGTTTTGGAAGTACTGGACAGCTGCAATGTCCCACTTGCTAGCAGGCCTAGAAACAAACACGAGGCTTTTTTTAAAGCATTATACTGCAGCAAAATAAACAGAAAACATACCAAAAAATCTGGCAAACGGCATTCGTACAAGCAGGCATAAAACAGGAAAGTTCTATTGACTAGTACAGTTATTTTTACTGATTTTTATCCCATCTTTATTATTTTTACAAATAATTCAAGGCAGCAAAGACACCTAATACTCTTCCTCCTATTTTCCCCACAACCTCTATCCTGTGAGGAGAGTTTGGCCAAGAGAGAGGCTTTGAGTGGCTCAGAGTCACACAGCAGTTACGCAGAAAAGATCCTCTTTGAAGTTAATGGAAGTATTTCTTAGAATATTTAATGTAGTTTCTCAGTAGCCATACTTACACTATCTCTGCATTGTCATTGTAGTAGTTGACACGTAGTGTTAGTGGTTTGACACAGTACAACCTAAGCTTTTTAGCTCTATAAGGCAGTCTCATAAATGATTTTAAGACCACACAGATCCTGAAAGAAAATAGGTTTCACAACAGATTACAGCCAATAATTTTCATGGATTTAGGGTTCAAACAGCAGATTATAATAACTTCTCTTTATAAAAAAGTGCTACTTCTTTATAGAGAAAACCAGATACAGTAACCTAAAACTGAGCACGATCTTATGTTCTTCAGAACTTTCTGACAAATCTATTTCTGTTCTCATTTCTTAAATTTACAAACTAGTCAACCCAAATTTTCTATAAAAAAATCCTAGGCTGAGCACGAATCCAAAAATGTCCAACTATGTCTACATTAACTTATGAACTGGATCAAACCAACACAGGAGGGCCATGGTCCATAACATTGGGCAGACAGGTAACATTACGACTAAAATGTTTCAATTCTTGGTCCAATCCTTTGCTGGGTGATTTTTACAGATTATAAACACATACTTTTCAGTCTTTACAGGAACAGTTTTGGCATAGTCCACAAGGAAACATTCCGCAATGTAATAATCCGTGCATGATATGATTGAATTAACAACAGCTCTGCACCAAGATTTCAGTTCCTGATAGTAAACAGCGCAAACCTAAGACAGACATATAAATGTTTAATGTTATACAATCTGTGTTGTTTTTTTGATAACAGATAATTGGCAGAGTATGTGTGTGATAAAATACAGGTCAGACAGGAACCAGAGAGTTCTTTTTTTTTCCCAGGTATTCTTCCAGACATTTAAATTGCTTATTTAAATCAACTTCCTCCTAAGTATTTCCCCTGCAAATGCAGTGTATTTTTTGGATCCATGAAGCATTGATCCATCGGTTGCAACAGAAAGGGACCTACTGACTTGTCACAGGACCCTGACATTATGGCTTGAGAGAACAGGACTGGCCCAAAGTCACTCAGCTGGCTTTCATTCCAAACCCAATTATTTCCATATTATCTAGCATATGGGTTTTGCAGAAGATATGCCTATTTCCATGTTTTCTGTTCAAGATTAAAAGACAGTAATGTATTTTCACTGTCATGAAAAAAATATTACATCCTAATATTAACAAGTATAACATTCTAATATTCTCTTTCCCTCACCATCAGAAAAGCTTTCTTAGCCCTTATCTTACCACCCCACTAAGCCATTGCTATGATCAAGAATTCCAGAATTATTTGTTCAATATTTGTTATCACAAGTGCATTGCACAGAAGTATTTTTGGAAGGATTGTTATCTTTAAACATATAAAAGGAAGGAAGGAAGGAAGGAAGGAGCAAGCTACATTTTTCTTCCAGATATATCCAAACAAATCAGATTGAGAAAAATCACCTGTCCCTCTTCTAGTGCACAGGGCTTGGCATCCACACATCGATAATGCTTGTTATAGAATTGATTCATTTCAGTCTGAAGTGTTTTATATTCCATCTCATTGTCTATAAATTTTCTGCCTCCTATTATGCAGACCCAAAAGCAATCTGGATTTTCAATCTAATAAGTATGATAAAACCCATATTAAAATATGTTCACATAGCTTTACATGTATTTAATATACCGAAAGTTAATCACAATACCTTCAGTATTAAGACTTCAATCATTTTTAATTCCAACGATTTTTTTCATCTAAGGAGAATTACAAGCTTTATCTGCACCTCTGAAAATGCAACAGGTCATCAATCAAACTTTCACCAAATGAAAATATTCCTGAAGTAATTTTGAAGCTGAAATGAACAGGATATAATTTTAGAAAATGCATACATAAAATTTCAATACAACTTGAGAAAGTTACCAGAGAAGAAATACCAGAATATCAACAGTTCCCTTGGTAGGGTCCTCCAAATCTATTTGATATATAAACTCAAACATGACACCTGAAGCTCTCTATATCCTAAACGGTGTAAACCACTAAACACAATGGAGTTCATTCGTTTCTCATTCAAAGCCAATTTCCCCTCCCTAAAGCACATTATGACTTAACATAATAAACCAAGCCATTTGGCTATTATGATTTAGTTTAGTTTGAAATCACAAGGAAATTTGCAATTTATTTTGCAAGACATAAAATAGTGGTTTGAAATTACAATCAAATTGTGATTTATCCTGCAAGGCATAGTTAACAAAACAATGGCTTGGCATATATGAAAACTGCCAATAGAATTTACTTGAGCGTCTACTGACAGAATGGCAACATAAATTGTAAATCTGTTTGTCAGCAGAGCAATGGATTTCTCAATTTCAGCCTGCTGCTTCCTAGGTGGGCAACTTGCAGTCCCAGATTCCTTTTACACTAGACTAGAACTACCTCTAATCACAGCTGCTAATAATAGCTAGCAGCATCCTTTTCTGCCATTTTGAAATGAGAAAATGTTTTTTTTTTAAAAAAAACCCCATCAATCTCGTAGTATTTATCATAGAAAATGCAGCTCCAATTCTCTATAAAAAAATATTTAGTTCAGCTGGCCCCTGCAACTGTCCCTCCCCCCCCAAAATAAATACAGTTATTCCTAGATTTCTAAACCACTTTTCTTCTTTCCAAGGAATTTAAGTTTCCCCATTTCACTTACAGTTGTTCAGAACTGGGTAGGGAGAGAGGCTGAATGCTACCCAGAACTGGAACTGGTGAAATCCCCAGGGAATCCAGAGCAGAAGGCTAATTGGGAAATCAGGAAAATAAAATATTACAAAAAGGGAATGACATGAAAATAAAGCAAAGGAAGCTGGGGAAGCCAGAGGAGGCAGCTAGTGGGAAACCAGGAGAATCAATTTAAATTAAAAGAGCCCACACTAAAAAAAGCAAGCCACTTCCCTCCCAAGAGTGTTGCCTACTGAGCGGCTGCCACATTTTAACAATTAAATAACTAAGTCCCACCAAGCCAGATTTTAGGAGTTGCGTTTACGACTTTTTAAAATCATGGTTCTAATTATACGACGGAGACTGGTTTTTGTTTTTAAATCCTTCAACCGAGATGAAAACCTCGCTGGGCCAAAGCCCAACACACAAAAATGGTATTATTATTGTTACTATTATTACTATTATTATCGCCCTCCCACCCACCACCATTACCACCCATGCACGGGGGGCCCTGGCTTTTAACCTAAGGGGGCTCCTCTCGTTTGGGGAGGACGAGGGAGACTTGCCGGGAGACAACGGCCGAGGCCTGAGGCCTCCCCTCCCGCCGACCGGCCCTTCGCGGCTTCCTCGCGATCCAGAAACTCCCTTTCCTCGCGCACGAGGCTCCCGCCAAAGGCGCCATTCGAACCCACCCGCGCATGCTCACTTGCGCCCTCGGCGCCGACGCACGCGCCATCTTGTCTCAAGGGCGGGCCCGCGACGACTACGCATGCGCCAGCATCCTCCCCCCCCTCCAGCTTTCGGTTTTGGCAGACGCGGCGTCCGTTTGCGCAGAGCCGGAAGTTTTATTTCTATTTATTTATCTTTTTATTTCTCAAAGAAGAAAAAAAAAAAGGCTGGTTTCTTCCATCATAAATAAAATACACAGCGATACTGATGTAAAGGAAAGCATACATCTTATGTATAGGAAGATGCATGTATAAAAGAGATAAAATGCCCATTTATATAGACGTTGTGGGTAATTCTAGATAAGGAAACGTCTGTTTTAAGGATATGAAAGGAAAGGAGGAAAGATTGCAGAGGAGGAAGAGGTTCGTGCTGATTGACTAGGAAGGATTGTAATAAGCTAACACCCATTCTATTGAAAATGATTGACTAAATCTTTAAAAACTTATAAAAAGCGAGACAGGAGCAGCCCATTGCAGCTGCCACCCAAAGTTACCTTTGACTTCCATTGCCTGGTGTGTTTTATTGTACTTGTGAGTTACTAGATTCCCATGCTTTATTGGATTCATTGGGCTCTAATTACTGGAAAAGAAGGCATCTGATCCTTTAGACAATACCAAGAAACATTTGTAATGATTGTATTGCAGAGTCTGGATTTCTACTCAGATATCTTAATAAAAATCCAGCTGGTTCCAAATATAGAGTGTTTGAGGAGAAATGACCATTTGTGGGACAATTTAGCAATAATAAAAGATCCATAAAAATACTGTTAAAAGTATTTATTTTTAACAGACACTCATTAGGGTTACATAATACAGTTAATGTAAAGGCACAACAGGTGACATTTCAAAAAATAAGAACAGAGGTCCAAGCCTTCAGTGGAATTTATTCCCTGGTTAGTCAGCCTAAACAAATTAGTCTAAAACAGTGCTTCCCAGATACAGTTCTGAATATATGCATTTAATAATTTTACAATCTGTAGTGCACTTATTTTGAATACAATTTCCAGGTAGAGAGAACAATACTATTATGATATATTCAAAAGTGCTCAGTTCTTTTCAATTTTGGCAAATGATCTATCGGTCAACAGGAGCATCTGCAGGAATAGTCATTGCCTTTAAAACAGCAGATGCACATGGGTGATCAAAGTTCCACCCTTTTTAATGTGTGTTGTATGCACACTAAATGCATATTAAAAAGGGGTGGAGCTTCAATCTCTTGATCCATGTACTCTGGACGCCTACTTATCATTGATGATAACTGTAATAATTCAAATGTGTTAAAATATAATTCGATAAGCTTTTGTTTACAGTACTGAACAATTGTCTTTAAGTTGCAAACTACTTCAAATCTTTTAAGGATATTTCAGTATAGCTATAACATACAAGTAAGCAAACAAACAAATTAAATTTGGGTTCATAGAAGATAGATCTCTATTCCAGAATTAGCACCTTTGCATGACCAGAATAATTATACTGATCAACACAACTTGAAACTGAAATAATTTACATAAATATTCAGGTATGTCCACAAGATGGCACAGTGTATTCTTTGTTATTCCAACATCTCTCAAAATTTGTTAATTCCAGTATGAGAAATACTACAACTGACTGTTGCAATCCGCATTATTTCACATTTTAGAGGCCACTGTAACTGGATTTATATGTTTATATTTGGATTCAATATTCATGTGGATAGTTACATTAGTAAGGCTTCGTATCACTATCCGGTGAAGGTTTTTGACCTCTTTCATTAGTTCTTCAATGTTTTTATTTGTTGTCAACACAGATTTCCTTTCGCCAGTAAAATCGGGATCTTTTGGATATAAATCGTCACCTAAAATATAATTATTTCTCTCGGTTATATGTATAGTTACAGGTATAAATGTGAATTTTTGATACTAATAATACCTTCAATCTAAACAGTGGTATGAAAAGTTGTGACATAATATTAGGAGAGACTATTTTTAACAGAAGTTTTTGTCTCAACATACCAAGAGCAGAAATATTAAAGTAGAGATGCACAGGAAGGTATGAATGCAATCAAATTCTACCTTTTATTTACTGGGTTCATAAACATGTTAAGCGATGATCTAAGATTTACAAACCACGATTACTGCTTTCACAGTACACAGCACTCCTACAACCAAGTACGTAACATTATAGCTAAATATACTGTAAATTCAAAGTAACAGAAGATTAACGAATATCTGCTCATTAATCCTAGTAAGTGTACTAGGTGAAATTTAAATTATGAAATTTTAATTTCATAACATTATTTATCTTTTGTCCTAAACAATCCACTTTCTGGAGTATGGTCCCAGCAACCCACTTATTGGAGAAGTAGATTCATTTTGCAGCTTCTGTTTAGTGTTCAGTGCATCAATAAAACAGGTTTTTAATTTTTATTTTTTTAAAAGGCCAGTTCTTCATTTTTACCTACCTGGCAACAAATGTATGCGGCCATCTGAAGCCGTCAAGTGAACTGACATCCAGCGTTCACAACCTTCTAAAGCTCGTCCTGAACTAAACCTCTCCAGATTATGAAGGGATGAAAAACGGCAGAGCCTATATAACTCATAAAGCTGAGGTGGTGCTACCCAGATGTCTCCAGAGTTAAAACGTTCAACAGCTTCTAAAGGGGTTGACCACTGAAAAAGAATAAAGCATTAAAGTCAGGCTATATAAGTTCCCAATTAAAGGGATATTCTGCAGAACTGATACGTATTTTGTACAACACTTAATTCTGTTTCCTGGTGTTCTCAGTGACGGTTTTAGTCTATTTTAGTATTTATTTTTAGCTCTTTTATTAGATATCAGTCTGACAGTGGATGCCATATGTCAGCTAGCAAGTTCAGAAATAAATTGTTTTAAATATCATTTGAAGTTTCGAGAGTGCCAAATAGACAACTGAAATTTTGGATCAACATTTCTGAACATATTTCCAGGGTTTTCACACATAATGACCACTATGTTTACTTAGTGACTCAGGCATTCATTCGTTTATAGACTGTGGTGTTCACTTAGCCACCACCACCACCACAAAAAGAATTTGTAAAATTGACCACAATCAGCCAGTGACCTGCTTAAATGACCTCCACAACTTATGACCATAATTCTGGGCTCAATTATGGTCATAAGTGGAGGACTACCCCATGCTGGCTGGGGAATTCTGGGAGCTGAAGTCCACCCATCTTCACCTGGCTAAGATGAGAAATACTCAATAGTTTAGGACTCCCTTCCCCACCTCCGGCCAAGCCACGATGCAAACCAGGTTTCTGGAAGCAAGTAACTGGATCAGATCCCCCCAGGC